TACATTCAGTCATCTATTAAACATGGTATGCTGAAAAAGCCAAGTCAGAAAATTTAATCTTTCAGTAAAATGTTTTTCATTTTTATTTTATAGTGGCAACAATATATTCACAAACACAGATTCAGCAAAAACAAAGAAAAAGTGCAAGTGTGTGTGGTGGTGGTGGATTTTGGGGGAGGGGGTGCATATGGAATAAAATTAACCTATTTGCATGTAAACTGGCTGATGGAGTTTGTTTGGATCAGAATAATCAGGCTAATGAAGGAACCTGGGGACTCTGCTCCATTAGAAATTTCTTGGCTGTCCTCCCCTTCCTGTGAGCAATCATATCTGTAATTATTTACAGTGAAAGTACATGAAGCGGTATTAATCAAGAAAATCTGACTGATTAAATCTTCAAAGGCAACAGTGATGCGCAATGGCTAATGGGCATGCAGTTGGTGCTTTTATCCTTGATGTGGAAGAAAAAGGGATGAGCGTAACCAGGCGGTGCTCTCCAGGAGACTATAAGCATACTTTGAGAAAAACACCCAGAAAAAAATCACAGCTGCTTTTTAAAGAGGTCATTTTATTTGAATCTAGTTGGTAACTGTAATCATGATAATATGAAGAAAATTCATTCATACATTATGTGTTTATTAAGATTAAGGGATTTAACTTAAGCTTTGCTTTGGTGAGGAAATTCTTTTTAGATCAGTTAACAAGATCTAATAGAATAATCTATACAGCAGCAATTCACAGTATGTTATCACATCCAGATAATTCAATCATATACAAACAACTTAGTTCAAAGTTATCTATCTTTTAACTTTATAGTACTTGTTCTTCCCATAAAGCATGTTGGCAGATGTGGCAAATGAACTAGGAACATGCATGCAGCAATGATGGAGAGGAAAAAGTCCCATTTAATAGAAATAACTGAACCAGGCTTAGTGTGATGGGCCTTCTGCTGAGGCCAACAGGGTTAAGCAAGACAGACGAGTTTTAATATATAGTGAGGGGCTGTGGGCTCATTGAACTTGATAAAGCACAATAAAAACACAGGCCATTTACCATTTCACATAGCAGCACTGATCCATTAATACTTCCGATGCTAGAGAAGGTAACAGTAAACTAGCTCTATAGGTGGCTCTATATAGGAAAGAAACAGAAAAGCATTTCTTAGAAAAACACCTGAGTAAGAATATTCTGTCAAACAGCTGGATCAATAAATATAAAAAAGTTTGATAGTTAATAGTTTATTTAACAAAACCCATTTCGCATATTACCAAAACCGAGCTGAAATATTCTACCTGAGCATTTAGATTAGTACTGTAATCGACAAAAATGGGGTCCAGTATTTTTACAATATGACATCTGTATTCTATTGAAATATATGAAGTATTTAATTTGACATTTTAATTGATGTTTCAAATTTTAAACCACTTTCCTTTCATTAAATGATTATAAGTTTAAAAGTTTAGATATGAAAACAGAAAGTCATTGTGATAAATAATATTTGACAATGACTTATTCTCTTTTGTCTAATGTGATTTCTAACTCTCTCTATCATTTCATTTTCTAATGGGAGCTTTAAATTGAACTAGTGATGAGCTTAGGTGACTTGGGAAGTTTGAATTGTTTGTCTCTTTTTTTCCCCACACCAAAACTCTGTGTCCTCAGCTAAACATTATACGTATAGACAAAATGACATCATCAAGTTTTTACTACTTTTTCTAGACAAATAATCTGGACAGAAATATTTTCTTATGTTGTTTTGGACAACCAATATACTATACCTATATTCTACAAGTAAGGTACAGTAGGTGGGACCTGTGAGACAGACTGAGGAAAACAGCTGTCCGTGTGGTGGCTGGTTTTGGTAAATAACGCTCTGTAACCTCAACCAGATACTAAAGTCTGAATAGTTTGCATATGTAAGGGTTGGACTGAAGAAAAGGTCAGCCTTGATAATGGTCTCTGTTGACCTAATTGTCCTTTTTAGTTTGACATGTCTTGTTTTGTGGATCAAAAAAGCAGTGATAAACAAATACAATTTAAGTGAATAATGGTGATGCGGAGAAAGACCAGCAGCTTCTTGAAAGTTGTACTTCTTGTGTGTCCTCAGGAAGCACTGCCTCTGCTGGGCCTTCTTTTAATGGGGTCTATGAGGAGGACCACCTCAGGTCTGATGAAGAGGCAGCTGAGCTGCGGAGCAGAATGTACCGGTCTTATAACAGCTACATAAGGATATCTGCCATTTTCAGAGAGACACAAACAACATTTTTATCTGTAACACTGAAGTAGAGAAGAGCTGAACACAACAGACTTTTTCTTTCTATAAAAAAAGCATTGCAGAACATCTGGTTGTCTAAGGAGGCTAACAAAGCAGCTGCCCAAAACTCCCAGGAACCATTAATTTGAAACTAATGGAGTAACAAGGCTTACACTTGTATAATTACACCACATTATGTTTTTATTCAGTTGTTTTATAGTTTAGGACAATAGTTTATTGCCCTGGGAGGAGGGCAATGAACCAATGTAATATCAATTCTTACAGTCCGCTATACAATACAGAATTTAAGTTACTTTTTAAATTCTTCAAAATTTAGAGGGATTGGATCCCATAAAACTGGGGAATTACATTTAAATGTTCTCGGTCAGTTGTTCAATATGAATTACCACTCAAATATACTTATCAAGGCATATACAAAGCAATATAATATTTACCTGGATATCCTATGTGCTTGGCTGTCATGTATTTGTTAGAGGTTATGTCACTGCTCTGCCTTTGGAGGACATAAACACTCCTGAACCATATATAGATCAGAGACGAGGAGGAATGCAAGCGTCTTGCGTTACTCTGTAGATGTTATGTAGAGTATTCGTGTAAAAGTTTTATTACTCAGAGAGAAAATTGTTTAGAGAGATCAGGGTGGTCAGCTCTCTTTGAACTAATAATGCTGTGAGACCAAAAACGTTTTTACAAGCCTATTTTAATTCCATCTCCCGTTAAGCCACAAAAAAGGTCTCCAAGCACAAAGAAAGTACAGTTTATGTATAAGAGGTCTTTCAGTGATAAAATAATCACAAACTTCTGTGCAGAAAACCAATAAAAAACTATTAAGTGCTAATAAAAAACAAGATAAAATAACTTTCATGACCCATGAAAGTCTTTGGTTGTGTTTGTTTTGTTCTTGTTTTTCACCTCTTTCCTTAATATGTTCCTTTGTTTCTGGTTTCTTCCTGTTAATCTTTAATTTAGGGTTTTCTATATTAGTTAATTTTCTCTGCTCCCTTTTGCCAGGTGTTTTAGATGATATTCATGTTTGTTGCGATCGGATCATGCCATTGTTTTCATATGTATTTACTCTGTTGTAGTGGATGGACCCTGTCAGTTCTTTCTTGGGTTTCAATTCGCCTATGTCTGCTTGCACAGCCTGTTGCCTGCACCTGTTCTCTGTTCTTTTTATGTCGTCAGTTTAATTTGTCTTTCAGTTCTTTATTTTACCCTCTGTCTCAAAGTATTGCTTTTCTTCTCTGTTATCTGCAAGTTTATTATTTTCTGTTTAAACTTTTCACCTCCGGAGTATTTGACACTTTGGTCGATAACATCAAGCCATGAAAACAACACTAAAGAAAATTCAACAGAGTCTTTAAGATCAAGAAAGCTATAAAGTCCAAAATTTCCATTAAAAGCAGGTGTAAAAGGTAGATTGTTCTTCAGTCAGTGCCACAGACTGAAAGCCTCAATCTCCTTTGTTCTAAAGTGTGATGCGGTGGAGAACAACTCTGAGCTCTGAACAAGCAGCGGTTTATCTTGTGAGAAGATTGGAAAAGTAATTGCTGGCCTGGCTATTAAGGGCTCTGAGTGTTAATGTGAGAAAAGAAAAATACTAAAATGTATTTGTAGCCATTGTGAAAAAGGATTTGTGTGCTTACTTTCTCAAACATATCATCAGTCAAGTTTAGAGAAGAGTTATGCAATTGATTGGAAAACTGAGAAATATATGCATGTGCATGCAATGTGTTTTAGGTGATAGAGATTTTGTGTGTCTGTGTGTTAGTGTGTAACCCTACCCCTCTGATGTAATGTGCTTACTGCTACAGTTTGCTGTCCTTCCTTACTGTCCCTGAACCTAACCTCTAGATGTGACAGGCGACCAGAAGATACCAGCGTGTCTGTTTTCTGTGTATTTTCAATAAACATTTAGAATATAAGTGAGAGCATGAGGCTGAAATAAAAGCAGGTTATATGTTAAAATGGTCTTAAAAACTGCAGCTGGATCCTGACATATCGAACAGGACACTCATTTCATTACTGTTTGGTTTACACACTTAAAGCAACTTATCTCTAAAATGTCATTATTATCTGTTTCTGTTTATCTACGATTAAACCCAATAACACATTTGTTTCCCGCTGTGTACCTTTGACCAGGCAGAGCGGAGCTCGGCCATCGTCTACATCAGAATTAGACTGACATTTACTCGACATTGCACCACGCGTCAGTTTCACCTTGGCCCTCGTCTCCTGCTCCTCTGCTCAGCACTTGCCTTCCTCTTTAAAATGACACTTGCAAGCACATTTCGGATATCTGATCTGAATCTACACCTTAACTGGCACAGAGGAGGAATTGACACATGGGAAGTTTGAACTTCCACAGTATCTTACAGTGGGAACAGTGTTAATTCGGATCCCGTGGGTGTATTTGTTGATAATGCTTGTTTTTTAGATTAACTTAGATTCCTGCTTCATGTTCTGCTTTTCAAAGTTAATTAAAGTTGCATCCATTTTCATGTTGAATAGACGATTTCAAATAGATTAAGTTTATTTAGTAGGATCTTTTGAGTATGGTTTTAGTGGCTTGACATCCTCCTGCTTCTCTACAGCCCCTAGTCTGCAATCCTTATTTCCTTTGATCTTCCATGCATTGCTGGGTTTTCCCTCCTCTGTCCTGCCCCTCCTTCCCCTCACATTCTCTCTTTCTCTCCCTCTGCCTCCCCTTCCACAGTTGTCCTCACATATTAGGTTCCCAAGTCCTAAGAAGCAGAATTAGCCTGGAATCTTGTGCACTTGTTTCCTTCAATCCCAGGAAGGAGGTGATAGCATGAAGGCAAAACAAGGGGGGACACAACCAGACCTGTAAAGGGATTGAAATTTAAAAAACGGAGGATAAATTGGGTAAAAGGGAGATAGGGAAGATGAACATGCATATGCTTGTTGTTTGATGCGGCTTCGCTGAAGGCATGTGGCTGCCTGCACTGAGCATTTCCCTCCACGTTCTCCAGCTGACTGGTGGAAGATCTGCATTCATGTGGCTGAGCGCTACATGATTTATCTCCCCAAAATAACGTGAGAAATCTTCCTTCGCTCCACTCGACGCAGACGTATCTATACAACTATAAGCTGGCTGATGCACTGACCTCGGGCTTTTGGTGAACGGATCTAAATCAGTTTGAACAACGTTAAGGACTGAGACAGCCAATGTGGGGCTCAGGTAAGGATAATCTGCGCTCTGAGAAATAGGAAGAAAAAGCACCTACAGGTTGGAGTAACTGTCCATCTATCACTTCAAATACAACCGAGAGGACAGATCAGCTGGGGTCCTCTTATAATACCTTTTTTTTAACACAACCACAGAGCAAGTGACATTGAACTCACGCTATGAAGATTTTTATGTTTAAATAAAAGTTAGGGCAATCAGCATCACATGACACAAGCCTGTCCACGTAATCCTGTTCTGATGAAGGGGTATGACGCAGTGAACGGAGCGATGGGCAAAAGGAGGGGGATACAGGGAAGAAGAGAGGAAAGTTTCAGTACTTGCTTCAAGTTATTTATTGGTAATGAGAGAGTAATGCTGTCGGAATGCTTTTTTTATGTTGGTCAAAAGCTGAGGGAAACATTTAGTCACATCTTTTTTGTAGTCGTTTGGATCAAAGTGTATCATTTGTAAAATGGCCTAGTCAAAGTACTGTTTTGTAAAGATGTTTTAAGGCTTGGAAACTCCTGTGCACTGACTAACATTTATTAGTCTAAATAAGCGTAAACTATTTGGAAAGGGCAACACTGCCATCTTCTAGACAAGTGAAGCTGTTACATACTCTTAAAAACCTCCAGCTCTAATGGCAGCAAAATTTTATCCTAAAAATGTTTGACTTTGCAAGGGTGAATACAAAGTAGGGCAACAAAAAATAGATGAATAATTAGAGATTTGATTATATTCTGCCTGATAAAGGTATTGGTTGGATAAAATCTAAAACCCAACGGAAATAGGGATATCAGTCTCTGTTATCAGTTTGTAAAATAACAAAAACAAAACAAAACAGATTCTGATGAAACATATTTGGATTTAAAAAGAAAAAGAAAGCAGGGCTGAGTTCTTAGAAGACTTAGAATGTGAAAAAGTTATTATACTGGTGAAGATTCTCGGTCATCTAGGTCACAGTCATGTCCATTAAAAAAAAAAGTAAAAAAATAATCCACTGGACTTTGTTTCCAAGTTTGAAGATGTTTCACCTCCCATCCAGGAATCTTTTTCAGTTCAAAAAGTTATTATGTATTTTTTAAATGTCAGGTGTATTTTTTGTTTTCATGAAAATCTCTTATTCAACAGTATTGTGTGTAGTCAGAAGCATGGAAATAAAAAATATTGCAACTGATGTTCACTTATAGAAGGATTCTGTGTATCTATTTCTTGCATTTCCAGTTTTATGTTGTTATTACACAGAATTAAACAGAATTCAAAAGCACTTAAAAAATATTTTCTCAAATTATTTTTGCGGGAAAAGAGGTTGAGGTCTTAAACAAATAAATCCAAAGTCTTTCATCCAAAATTTCAACCCAGCATCCTTGTTGGTCTTTATGTATCGTCTTGATCTTCTTCACTAATGTAAAAAACACTTCCTATTTAATCATTTCATTTTCTGCTTTGTTTACTTAATTTCAGCACAACCTTGGTTATAAGAAAAGTAGACCCTTTATATTTATTTGTCAATTATTAAAAAAAAAAGATCTTTATTTTAAGTAACTTGATTTAAATCTTACCCCAGGTGTATGCTATTTATTTACAAATTACATGCTGTCATTATTTATTAAACAAAAAACTAATATAAAAGATAACAGGAAAGCTAAATTGATTGATCAACCCTTGTATCTATTAATCTATCTTTAGGAGTATGATCCATGTTTGGGATGCATTTAAATGTCCCAATCCACTCAGTCCTTATGTACTCATAAGTTCATAAGTTGAAATGTTTTATATGCGGCCTACAATTCTATATGTATGTTCAATGGTTTTATTTTACATGATTTTTGTCTTTCATCACCAATTATCCAATCTTTTCAAGAGTTTAAACAAACAAATGCCAATATCTGATTAAATGAAACACACAAGTTGTCAGGACAGCTTAAAACCTAAAATAAACTTGAATTGTTATTCAGTTTTTATTTACCTCAGAAAATGAAAATACAAAAGACTAAAACCTGCTTGTTACAAGAGAAATGTTAAGCAGGTCATGTTAGAGATGAGGTACTTTAACCTGTTGGTAACTGACAATAATTCTTGCTTAAGGCTGTTTCTTTGGAAGTTACACATCAAATGAAGAAATCATATAATTTTGGCTGGACTCTCATCAGGAATCACTGCTAACAGCCAAAGCTAAATTTAGCTTAACAAGACTGTTGACACAGTTATAGCCTCTTGGGGCAGATTGAGGAAATGAAAGGACAGCAGGGGTTATAATAACGTAATCCTGACTGCGCAGCTCAGGGCAAGATGTATTTATTACATTCTGATCTTGAATGTTTGGATATTGTTTAACATATAGTACTACTGTCCAAACCACCCAAATAAATCTTTACACGTTACTATGTACATTCCTTTTACATGACTGTGACAGCCACATTTTCACAATGTCCTTAGAATCAGAAGTGTTAGAAATAGTATATGATATGAAAAGTTTTTGTCCTCTTTGATATTTTTTCAGTTTGTTATTTGTTAGACCTAAATCTTTGATATTTTTTTCAGTTTGTTATTTGTTAGACCTACTGTAAATATTTGAAAAAACAAAACAATCTGTCAAAGATCAGCTGAGTAAATAATAATTTAGTAATTACATTTCTACTAATTGTATTCATAAATCATAAAATCACAATAATATCAAGAATCCTATAATACCTCCACTATACAATCGCATGTTCTTGTAATATATTGGCATCACAAATACATTGGTGCTTTCCTTTGTGCATCAAAATAATGAGTTGTTTTAGATTTTCAGTAAAATGCCTAGAGCCTTAGAAAAAACAGAGGTGGGTAGAGTAACCAAATATTGTACTCAAGTAAGAATAGCCCTACTTCATAATATTTTTACTCAAATAAAAGTTAAAAGTAACCATCAAATAAATTACTAAAATAAGAGTAACAGAGGACCCAGTATTCGAGGCAAGAAAGACAGTGGGATTAATCAAAAGCGTTTTTAAACGAACTGAAGAAACTGCGGCTATGGCGTCTATGGCAGGAATCTCTGCAGAAAGGAAATACAGGTTAGGGAACACATAATTCAAACGGAGGAAGATTATGAGAGTGAGTCGATAACCTGGTTTACTAGTTCACTGTCATGATGGGTCTCTGTGATTAAACCCACATGCAGAACACCCCAGGAGACTGAGTAAAAGTTCAACAGTTTATTTGGATTAACACACACAGAGTAAATAGTTTGTACAGGTTCTGGTTCAGGTCCGGGACTGGATTCACAGAGTTATCTGCAGAGAGGGATTGTTTGGTTAGCCAGGTAGCTATGATGTCTTGGCAGAGTTTGTTTCTGAGTTGTACCTGATGAGGTTCAGACTGATCGGTGGAGAGAGGGAACCGGTTGGGTCCAGAGACTGTGGGGTCAGCAGAGAGCTTAGCAGCGGCAGAGCTTAGCTTCAGGCTAGCGAGATTCAGACCTTGAATTGTACTCCAAGTTCTCTCCTGAGAACAAGTGAGGAGATTTAGACTGAGGATCTTCAGGTTTGGCTTCTCTGGGCAGGCAGGCAGGCAGGTTTCCAAACATGAGCTCCACCTGAGCTGCAGACTTCGATCAGGTTTCCTATGAGGCAGAGAAGACAGAGGCAGATTAGAATCAGGGTTACTTTCTTGAGCAGACAGAGATTCTATGGTCAGGCTGAGGCTCAGGTTCTGCTAACCAAAACTGGTCAACACTCCGGCGCTGAAGAGAAGTCAAGCCGCTGTTTAAGTAGCTGGTCTCCTGATGAGATGAATCAGCCTCAGGTGTGCAGGTGGCTTCAGCTCAGGAGACCCAGGGCGCTCTCTGCTGGAGAAAGGTGGCAGATCTCCAGATCCCAACATTCACTCCATGCCCAGAGAACGAGGTTGATACCAACTGGTCAGTTGACAAGAACCAGTGGTTGCCGAACACAGACTTCAAGACGCTGAAGCCTAGAAGACTACAGAACTAGGAGGAGTCAGATCCAAGCAGAAGAAGGAAGACAGGATAATCCAGAGGGCTAAATCCATGTGGAGGACGTGCTCAGGATTCAGAAGCAGAGGTCCGAAGAGGTTTTAAAGGAAAATCCTGGTCTGTGAGAGGAATCAGTGCCATGTTAGGTTAACAGGCAGAATTCAGCAGGAGTCCGAAGACAGTTCAGGCAAACACATCAGAATCAGAATACAAACAGGCATGCTAGAAAACTCTCACTTAAGGCTCAAATAATCTGTCCTGAAGACTGGAAAATGGCAGGTTCCAACAGATCAGACAGGAACAGAAGGGCTAAATGGTTGAGAGGCAGACCAGGAAATCAGAAACACTAAGGTAACACTGGCCCACTCTCCCCACTGGCTCAAGAGAAATAATCTGGTACTGGTGACTGGTAGCAAGCAGCTTAAATAGAGGCAGGAGCAGGTGGATCGGATGAGCAGTAATGAGATACCGGGCAGAGTTAGACAGGTGAATGAAATGAGTAATTAAGCCAGTCATTAGTGCCAAGATCATGATACTTACTGGGAAAAAGGCTACTTATGTACTGAGTAACTGATGATAACATTGATTTAATGTTATCAACATTATGTATATTTAAAAGACATACAGTTATAAGCAAATTTTAAAAATGATATAGAAATAAATGTATAATATTCAATACTTAAACAGTAATTTCAAGTTGAAGAAACAAGACATTTTTTGTTATAAAAACTCTCAAATCATTACTGATAGTATGTCATGTATGTAGGTGTGAATATGATTAGTTACTTCCTGTAGCATGACACAGTGACCGACATGGCAGGATGTGCAAATAGAAAACAATGTTAAAACAAAGAAGCTGATGTTAAAAATAGAATCTCAGATATTAACTGTAGGTGTTTGTCTCTCTAGTGCAATTTTGGTAATTCATTGAGTGAAGTTACTCAGGATGATTACTCGTGTGTGTATTAATAGATGAATAACTGAATGTAGTGTGAAGCATTTTGGCCAAGTCTCCTGAGTAAAAAAAAAAACC